ATTTGAATTTAATATAATTTATTTAACCAAGACAATTTTGGCCTCCTAAAATTGTCCTCCCCTACACTATTAACTCAAATCCGTACGGTGATACTCCTTCTTAATTTGTACGGGGTAGGAACTGAAGAAAATGTTGGGGTTTTGGGTTTCTTGATTTTTTATTAGGTTGGCTATATAGAAGTAACTTCTTTATATTGATATTTTTGAATAATTATGATTTAGAATAAATAGAATACATTAAATGAAAAATTCTCAATAATTAAAGTAACTTATTAGTGTTTTGAATTATTTGTGTTATTCTATATTCGTTAAGAATCCAATTACGCATACATCTATGTAAGTTTTCCCTAGTATAATTTATATCTACCTTAACTCTTTATGATATTGATATTGCTTCCAAACAATAATGTACAAGATACATTTTTAATTCATAGTATAAAACTCAAAATAAAGTAATAGAAATTCAATAATTTTTTTAAAAAAAAGGTAATGTACTACAAAAAAGAGTAAGTAGAAGTGTTGTATGAGGTTTTGTCCTTATCAAATGAGGTTGATGAAGTATTCCTCCCTATCCTGATAAACACATTGATAAAAGAGAGAACTTAAGACTGCCTAAAATTTCTCTCATAAGATCAAAACAAATTCCTTTAAGAAATAGAAAGTTAAAACATAGAAAACTAATCTCTGCTTGAGAAAGAATAGACTCTTAATGGAGAAAAGAACATTAAGATAATAACAGATGTCCTCAAAAAAGTTATGGATCATGACTTTAATACACAGAATTATTCAATGGATGATTATGAAGAATTTAAAAAGGATCTAATCACAAAAATATCATTGAATAAGAAGATTATAGAATTCCTAAAATTTTTAGTTCATCTAACTGCTTTAGATGAGACATATATTTAGTGTGGATCGAACTCTCTTAATTTACTAGTTTAAATGAAAGTGGATTTGAGGGAATAAAGTTTTGGGGGTATCAGAATTAGAGATACCTCTTTAGTTGGTGGAAATTTTGTAAGATGTAATTTCAATGGATCAGAATTTGATAATGTGGATATAAGTGGAATCAACTTGAATTAAGCTTAATTGTTCAATTGTAAATGGAAAAATATTAAGATACATGAGTTAAATAAATTAGATGGTCATTGTAGAACAGTTAATTAGGTATGCTTTTCTCTAGATGGTAAGTAATTAGCTTCTTGTAGTGATGATAATTTAATTATCTTGTGGGATGTTAAAACAGGAAAAATTAAGTTAAGAATCAAGGTAAAGTAAGAAGTAAAATCAGTATGCTTCTCACATAATACAAGTACATTAGCTTTCAGCAGTGGAAGATTTGTTTATTTATGGAATCTTAAGACAGGATAATAAAAAGCCAAATTAGATGGTCATTCATCAACTGTTTATTCAATTTGTTACTCTCCTGATGGTACTACATTAGCATCTGGTAGTTATTAAGAAATTCGTTTATGGGATGTTAAGACAGGATAATAAAAAGCCGAATTAGATGGTCATTCA